GAATTGAAAAAATTTTTATTCTTGAAAAGTTCTTGAATCAATATATAAACATTGTTAGAAATACTCTCTCTCTGTTATCTGAGTGAAAACACTTCACAGATGAATGAGAATACTCACAGTTTATAAGAATAAGAGTTATTATAGAAAAAGAGAAAAGAAGATAAGATTTCACAGACAGATCTGAGATATTTATACTACTCTAGAGAGATTTACTTACACTGTGAATAATTCTACAGAATAGTCAGATTACTCTAGTAAATAAAGAGTAATTATAAATCACAGATCTGAATCTTTCTATACAACTATAAAGAGTGATTGCAGACTGTAGATATCTTGATTCTACAATTCTACAGAGTTAATAAAAGAATGAAAAATTCCTTATAATTCTACAGTATCAAAGAACAATGATTCACAAGAATAAGTGAAAGATTAACTTATGAATACTTCTCTTTAATGAGAATAATCTCACAGAGAGTGATTTATCTATGAGATAAATCTGTATAATAATTATATAAGAATCTTATAAAAATAATTGAGAGTCAATCAGAACTCTTCTATATAAAAGATGTGAGATGAATCTATGTGATAATTAGAGAAGAATCTGTAGATCACAAAGAATCTCATAGAATAAGAAACTGAGTGACAGACTCTTTTCTCTTTATAATAATAAGGAATTTTTCCTCACTGAGATTTTTTATAGATGTAAAGAATTTTTAGTGAGTATCACTGCAGTACTGAGCTGATTCTATGAAGTCACTCAGTGAAAGACTTCATGAATAAAACCTTAGAGAGAGAAAAATATGTAAGAAATCTTACTTCTCATGAATTCTTTACTTCTATTTCCATCTCTCATATAATCAATAGAGTTAGCAGCCCTTGACTACACACAACTATATAGACTGAAGTTTGTGAATACTATTTATAACTCAGCTTGAATACTATTATACATTTGATCTCTACATTTTATCTTTCTATTATAAATACTTCTAGTAGTTAACAGTACATATCATGCCAAGCTGCAAACACCTGAATAATCGCCTGCGAGTACTTATTCTTACATGTTATGCTATCACACTATTTCATCTTACTCACTGCTCTGAAATGAAGAAAGAAAGCTCATAAAACACATTCTTTTTAAATGAAGTTCAGAGTCAGTTTAAAAAGAATATGTTTTTATAAGCTTTCTTCTAATCAATATTAGTTAACTATCTTTACTATGAACACTATTCTATACTATATTATCTCTAAAAGTGCTATTCTACATCATTACACACTGTTGAAGTTAAATACTATTTATTCATAAGATCTTAGTAAGAGATACAAGTACAGCTGTTTAATTCACTGAACATCTGATCATTTTCATCTATACTTTGTAAAAAGCAGCTGTATTATTAGTACAGACACTCTGTTCACTGAACAGTCATGATATTAAGACTGTACTTTTCAAAAAAAGTGAAGATCTGTATAAAAAGAACAAGTACACACAGATGCACTGAACAGGCTCTTATTATATTATTCTCAACATTCAGACTGAATATTTATATTATTTACAACTAACTAGTCATGTTCTTGTTTCATCTCTACAATCAATGAAAGTTTTTATGTGAAGCTTCTCTCTATATATCTACTTTTCTGTGCAAAAAACACTGTAATGTGACATCACATGCACCTCATTAAAAATTCATGAACAGTGGTATTATTCTAGTAATTGCTTCTATCATCTACTAGTTAGTTACTTCTTTGACTCTTTTTATCACTTCTATTATCTCTACCACCTCTATTCTCTCTATTATTATCACTGCCTCTATCACTTCACAGTACTCTCTATCACTTTCACTCTCTATCTCTACTCTCATCTTATCATTCTACTTCTCTTCTATTATCTCTATTATTATCACTGTCTCTATTATCTCTCTCTATCATCTTTTTCACTCTCTAGTCTCTCTATTATCATTACTATCTCTACTGCTCTGTAGTCTCTTCTATTACTTTTACTATCTCTACTTCTCTCTTACTATCTCTATCACATTTTGATCTCTGTATTTATAGTATATACTGCTAAGTATTCTGTAATAAAAATCTCATGTGATGTCATATGTATTTTTTTGAATTCATGAATGAGATTGAATAGCTGACTCTGCAGTCTGTACAGCTCTGATGAATCTGATAATGATGATAGAGATGATACAGAGTGAAAGAGAGTAGTAGAAGAAGTAGAGGTGATGATGGTGATAGAGGGGGTAAAGAGTGAAAGGGGTGAAAGGGGTGGTAAGGGTGGGTAGAGGTAGAGGGTGGAAATGATAGAAGGGGGTTGCGGGGCGGTAGAGGCGGTGGTGGTGGTAGAGGGGACAGGGGTGGAAGGGGTGGTAAGAAGGTAGAGATAGAGGTAGGGGG